GATCAGGACGTAGCGTCTGGGATGGTCAAACCAGTCCAGCAGCTGCAGGACACTGGGGGAGCCAGGAGCTGAAGTTATGCGGGTCATCAACGCCACCTCCAGCGGCAGCTCACCCTGACCGTCCTGCGAGACAAACCCTCCAGTATATCCGGGACTGAATCAAACACTGCAAACACAACAGACTCACACCAAAACATACAACTTCACACCTTCCTGATTGTGACACGTGAGATTTACTGACAGCAACATTTCTAAAGCATGTCTGAATGAAGGAGGGAAGAAAGGCTCTTACTGGCAGTCCATCAGACCTGCCACAGGACTATTTTAGTACAAAACAACTGACATCAAATATTTATTGTCACAACTGATTGTCATTCTCTAATTGTCTTTAATTCTCTAATTGTCTGATTTTCAGACTCTAAATTCTCACTCAACTATTTTTTTAAAGAATCCTCTCTGCTTCAGTTCTGCCCCCTACAACATGCAGTCATTAATTACATTAAGATGGTCCTGGTGTCCACTACAGTGGACATTTTAAAAAGGATGTTTAGAAACAAACAAGTTAACAGCTTTGAAAGCTATACGTATTGTTCCTGACACTTTAACAAACAAATATATACGTAATAATAATAGTAAAAAAACATTTAAACAGTTCAATTTTACATACCTCACTCCTTCCCATAAAATGTGCTTGTTTGTATGTCGGCCATTTGGATGTAGTGTAGGAAATGGTTCCTAGCATGCCAGCCAATGTGGTATATGCCGAAGCATGCTAATAGGACTTTTAATTTGCCAGTAATCTGGGTTAAGCGCTTCCTGTGAACTGTTTGCCATTTCAAAATCGGCGCATTTAAGGCATAGATATATATCTATGCGTTTAAGGTCTTTTTTCTTTAAAAATCAGCCATTTCCACTGGCTGAGTGATATCCGATATAAAGTGGGTCTCAGATTGTACAAGAAGCACAGCATTAAATTACATTTTCCCCTGCCATGTCTTTAAAATATGAGCATTTATTTTACCCCAGTATATTCAATGGAGCTTCTGCGTTAGCCTGCCGATTCTGACTGGCGAGTGTGTGTAAACGGCTGAATGTCTCGTTTTGCACTTGAGCAACTAAATGAATGCCAGAGTCTATTTAACTGATTGTATTTTAACTACATTGCAAGATCGATGCTGTAAATGGTATCGTTTAAAATGGAAAAAAACTAATAATAACAGGTAACCTGAAGATTATCAGCATGGGAACAGCACTAGCTAGGCATATACCCAATTCAACAGACATATCAAAGTCCAGGATGTCCTCTAACAGTACAACAGGACTAGACAAAAAAATCAAAGAAAATGCATGAAAACGCAATGTCCACTACAGAGGACACAAGTCAATGGACGGGGTCTCAGGAGGATATACTTTAATAAATATGTTTCTCAGAAAATAATGCAATAATTGTTCTGAAAGCAGTTTATAATGCCTGTAGATTCCACAAATTGAGAATATCATCATCGTCCACGTCTTCAATATGGTACATTTAGATGAGCTCGGTTTTTTTGGTGTTATTTTTAAAAACTTCATTCACTTGAATTTCCTTTGGATAAATGTAAAGATTTCTCTCACTAATATAGGCGATGATGACGCAAAGGCTGTTCGGGTGGTTAAAACGATGGCCAAAAGGTCCAGAATTTGACCATAAATCATTTTATGTAAAAAATATATATTATAGTTTTGTAATAAATGTTTTTGTTTAAAATAACTATGATCAGTAAGCCACATTAATGTGACGCGAGTCACGTGACATAACCGAGCGGTAACTTTAACTGACTTTTGAATCTTTGATGCGACATCCATAGTGAATAACGTTATAATGGGTCGAAAAGAGCAAGAGAGACGAAGAGAAAGCAGGCAACAGCGTCATTGTCGCAAAATATTGAACATATGTACAAAAAGACTGGCAAACAGGGTAAGACTGACGTTACTTCCTTACAGATGAGAATCTGTCCCTATCAGGTTATAGGCTGGCCGCATTAGCCGGGTCGTCCATTTGGACATTGTTGATTTGTCTCGTACACGACCTCCCTTTACCTTTTTATTTTTTGACTTGTGCCATAACAATTTTTGAAAATAACTGTCCGATAAAGGCTTTACGACCGGAGAATGCGCTAATCCCGTCCAATGTTTTGAGGCTGTTTACACCTGCTCACTTCATTCGTTTTATTCTGATCTGATATTAATCCGACACACTCCAAACGACACTGGACAGGTCTAATTAATGTATTATTTTGTTTTACACAAAATGAATTAAATTGTAATATATGACCTGGAGAAAATCTGACCTGCGCCTGTTTACAGCCAAACACACTTAAAGTGCAAAATAAATAAATACATATTTACTAAAATAATAAAACATGTGTTCTGACTTTACTTTATCTAACAAAAAAGTCAACTAGTCATGTTCAACTACACGATCTTTTAGACTAATATGAAGCATTTTGTCAGTTCATTTCGTTAAGTATTTATTTCATTTTATTATTTTTCTTTCACTTTATTCGTTTTATTTTTTATTACACTAAAATGATCAAATTAAAATCTTCAATTAATATCAAATGGCAGCATTACTTTACAGAGATGCAGCATGCTCCTGTAGTCCTGTGAAAAGAGATGAAAAATAAAAGAAAAAAATTGGGAATTTCTTTTTATTTCAAAGGTAAAGGGGTTTGTTTTGTGGGTTAGTATGTTATAAAAAATAATTGAGCATAATGGCAGTAATCTCAAAGCTTGCCTTGTTCTGAATGAAGCACAACGCCTCCTGTAGCCTGCATTTGTTTTACTTGTTTAACACAAAACGGGGAATAAAAAGTGTCCAGCACCAAAATCCTCCATAAATCAATACGTTTTAAATAGAGTTTTATATAAGAAGTAAAATCCACTGATAATGATAATGTTTTAGCGATAATATTTTAGCTCATAGATGAATTTCATTATCAGTGAATTTGACTAATTTACAAGAAAGGCATAAAAAGGGAATTAAGAACTTTATTTTAATTATTACTGTTTTAATGTTTTATTATTCAGATGGCCAATGTCTGACTAGGTGAGGTTATTTGTGCATAACGTTTTTTTTCTTTCTCTTGTGGACTGATAATGTATGGACTATTTTAGCCCAACCCTTCATATTTCTTATTCAATCTTTTATATTTGAAACACTGAAGTCCACTTATTATTGACTGTGATATACAACTTTAATACATGTTTGTAAATTAGTTGATAAATACATTTAATACATGTTTGTATGCTTTATTAGTAAAAGATAATAAATGGTGCTGCTCACTGCAGTTTATACTGATATTTCTGATAGCAATTTAATAATAATTGCTGAAGCTTTCATCACTGTATATGTCACGCTTTATCTGTTACGAATTTATTATCTGACATAAACAGCAACTGAGTATTAGGGCGAAACAAACTTAGGCGATCAGAGCGCCAACTTGGATCACCCCGCGCACCTCACCTTACTGATGACGAATAAATAGAACGAGAAGAATGCCGTTGCCATGGCCGACAGAATTCCTCAGAGTGACAAACGATCGAGTACAGTGAACAGTGATTTAATGACTTTAGCGATTTGTTTTGCATCTCAAACAGAAAATAATATGTCAACTGTGTTTTTTACTCGAGAAAATTTGATCACGCCTGTATTTGTCCACAACTATCATCAGAGTGACTCGATGGCTTCTCCTACAACTCCTACCATGTCGAGAAGCCCAACAGGTGAGATGAGAGTTTACAAAAACGGTGTATTTTCACCTATTATTTAATAAAAACTATAAAATAATAATATATCGTCATATAACGCAACTTACCGACTTAAGAGGCAAATATTCAACCTCTCGATATTGTAATTGCTTCGTGTCGTTATGATATTGTGTATTTTCTGACTTTGTGATTGAGGCCTGCTGTCTGTCAGTTTATGTATTGACATTCTGGCTTTTAAGTTTCTCCTTTCCACTCTACAGAAATTGTGCCTTGTTAAAGTTTCTGATAAAAAACATTCAAATATTACTTTAATTTAAACTCTATGTGTAGACCTGCACAGTAATGTTCTTAGTTTTTGATGTTGTGGAGGAATATTTGTTATATTTGAGAAAACTGAGTGAAAATGTTATATTTAAGTTTTTTATTTGTTTAAGCAGTGATAAATTAATACAATTGAGGGAAAGTTGATTTTACATTCACACATTCTGACTTTCTCCTTTAAAATTTAATAACAGAAATATTGTTTCAAATTATAAATGGGGAAATCATCATAACACCCAACGACTATCATTCTACAATCTTGTTTACAGTCAATTAATTAGTGATAATGTTAATTTGAAGTCTTACTTACATGCGTTTTCAGACCCAATATTCAAATTAGCATGGTAAACAACATAGAGAGCGGTGAATGAACAAATGTGCAAATATAAACCCAACTTTACATCCATAATAATAAATGTCTACAGCTCTGTTTCTGTAACTGAAGTTCTGGAGCAAGACTTCTCTTTTCATTTGGATTTCTAAGACTGATTGTTAAATGTTTAAAGTTATAATTTACTCACAGATTTCTTAACTGAAGATCCAGAGCGAGAGAAATTGTTCACTTAAGTTTGACGATTGCTAATGGAAAGCTGAAAAAATGTGTTTTAGTTTTTTTGTGGTGGAGAAGTGGTGCTTGAGGAAGAATGAAGATGTAGATGTGGCATCCACTGACAAAAATTAAAGAAATAAAAGGCTTCATAAATTTGATTAAACATTGTGATGGTGATGTTAAATAGCTCAAACTATAACTGTAATAAAATATTCTATAACTCAGAATATTGACTCAAAAATGAGTAAATGGATGACTTACTATTTATCTGGTTGTATTTGTCATTTTACATCATAGAAATGATTTGCTATTCCACATAATTAATTATAGCTTACAAACATTTTCTGTTATAATTGTACTTTTATTGTTGATGTTTCTTTTGTGTGATTGTCTTTTATATGTTTAATTTTCAGCAGTTTGTCTATTTTAAACCTGTGGTTAATGAGTTTTCTAATATTTCCCTGTTCATTTCCTTTACTTTAGAAAACCCAGAGAAACGGAGGAAAGGGAAAAGAGTCTCTGCTTTCTTTAAGAGAGCATGGAAGGCTGCAAAGCGCCCTTTCCTTAGCTGTGACCGGAGCAGAGTGGTTCCCTTTGAACCACAGTCGGATGTCAATGATTTCGAGCATCTGCCTGTTCCAGGTCCCTCCAGGACCGTCACAGCACATGCAGACCTTGAGCCGGTGTTGCTGCCAGGCCAGGTCTGTGAAGAACCTCAGCCGTTGAGTGTTCCGGGCCCCTCCAGGATCAAGCAAACAGCAGAAGTGCCAAATGCAGATCCGGCCCGTCCTGAGTCCTCAACGGCCCTCACAGGTCATGTTGACACTGAGCAGATGCGTCCGCCAGTCCAGGTCTGCGACAGTCTTGAGTCGTTGGCTGTTCCAGGACCTTCCAGGATCAAGCCAACGACCATCGCAGATCATGTTGACCCTGAACAGATGTGTCCGCCAGTCCAGGTCTGTGAAGAACCTCAGCCGTTGAGTGTTCCGGGCCCCTCCAGGATCAAGCAAACAGCAGATTCGGCCCAACCTGAGTCCTCAACGGCCCTCAACGGTCATGTTGACACTGAGCTGGTGTGTCTGCCAGGCCAGGTCTGTGAAGATCCTCAGCCAATCAGTGTCCATGGCCCCTCCAGTACTAAGAAAATGACGGATGCAGATTCGGCCTGTCCTGAGTCGCCTCCGTCTGTTCAAGACCCCTCTAAAATTGATGGGACTGATGGTGAGTCATCCTGAAATTTGATTTTATTTCTGCCATCTGTTATTTTTTATGCTTTGTTGTTTTTAGTTTATAAATCAGGCAGTGTCATTTGTTGTACTGTTGGTTGTGTATTAATTAATACAGTGCTAAACATATACGAGAACACCCCCACAAATCTCATTTAAATTCATATTTTCTATAGGATGCTTTACAATATTATATTTGTGCATGTACATTAGTTTAGTCAGTACTGAAGCCAAATCTGGAGCTTATCTAACAAAATCACTTACAATAATGGTTCAAAAATTAGTAGCCCAAATGTATATGTTAGGAGAAAATATTCAATTTAATTTTCCAAAATAGCAAAAATCAAAGAGAAAAAAATATATATAGACAATTTTGTTGAAATTTGTTTTTTGTTTTGCACAGATTTAATTGTATTATCTTTCCATTTCTAAAAATGTTCTGTGACTAAAATATTAATTTAATAAATAAATCTGTTTAATAAATCTGTTTTGTTCAAATGCACCAATATATATTACCCATAATCACTGAGAAATGGATAAAATATTCATTTTCACAATGGGGTGTACAGCATATATGAATATTCTGAGCACTGTAGCTGCAGCTCTGTTCATGGAGATGTTTCTGTTTGTTGTCTTCATTTTAGAAAAACCCAAGAAAGGAAGGAAATGGAAAAGAGTCTCTGCTTTCTTCAAGAGAGTATGGAAGGCTGCGAAGCGTCCTTTCCTGTGCTGTGACACAGATGTAGTCCAGCGTTTTACGCCACAGCCTGAGCCCGAGCTCGAGTCAGACCCAGACCTTGACTCAGAATGTCTGCCAGGCCAGGGTGGTAAGTCATCATTCTGTAATTCGTAATTAATATAAATTAGTAATCAGTTTACTCCTGCAATTCTGATAAAAGTTGCTGCTTTTAGATCATTGCAATAGATCAAGATTTGAAGGACAGGAGTAATTTATTTGAACCGATTCATACCAGACAATCCCAATAATTCTCCCTGCTTTATTCAGGATTTGATCTGTCTCAGTTTGAAGTCGGAGACCTGATTGGAAAAGGAGCCTTTGGCGAGGTGTATGTGGCATCTCACAAACGCAAGAAAAGAGTAAAGGTAGAGAACTATTTTTTAAATTCAGTCAACATTTTCCTCCTGATTATTAAATATAAATCATTTGTTGGCTTTAATTTAATTTGTTGTTGTTGTTGTTTTTTTTGCAGGTTGCCCTGAAGTGTATGATGAAGAGTCAAGAGGACCGTTATCTGGACGTTGTAAGTTGAATAATTCACACAACAGTGAAAATGTGCCGAGCATTTACTCATCCTTCACTTGTCACTTGTTTTGAACACATGAATGTCGGGCTGTGGAGTTAATTAAAATTCATTTAACATTAATGGAGAAATCTGTTTTCTTTCTAGGATGGTCATTCCACACCTGTGCTTGCGGAAGTGGCAATGATGCTTAGGTTGAGGAATGCACCGCGATGTCCAAACATCATCAGATTACACGACTGGGTTGAGCTTGAGGACAACTTTGTTCTCATTCTGGAGTACGCAGAGTCATGCCAGACCTTGCTTCAGTACATCAAAGATACAGGGGACATTGAAGAAAACCAAGCACGCCGGTTAATGCGTCAGTTGATCCGAGCCGTAATGTTCTGCACCGAGCGTGGAGTTTTCCACGGTGATATACACACGGCGAACATCCTGGTGACTCTACCCCGATTAGAGCTCAAATTGATCGACTTCGGTTGTGCTCAGCCAATTACCCACAAGCCTTTCAACAAAAGTGACTATCGAGGTGAGTTGGCATTTTGTGATAGTTTCTTTGTTCACCGTATTGTCTTATGAAATGACTGAATTCTGGAAATGTCTCTCTTACAGGAGCTGGACACGGCATGCCACCTGAGGCTTTGAGGGGTCGTGTATTCCATGCTAACCCGGCATATGTCTGGACAATAGGCATCATGCTGTATGAAATAATGCATGGACGACTGGCCTTTTGTAACAGACAGTCATTAATGTTTGGCTCCATTCAGATAAACCCCAGATTATCTACAGGTAAGCAGACACCTCTGAACAATCCCAGCCTCAGTGACAGAATAACACATGTCAGTCATAAGTCAAATGGATTAAATATAATGCTCACAGGACCTGTAGATATTAAAGTCACTTAATTGTGGATGTTTTGTAACATTTGATGTAGTAAGATTTAAAGACGTTCATGAATCTTGAGTATGCAGACGTATTTCACACTCTCTGTGCCACTTTTCAGCATGCGTGGACCTGATTTCCCAGTGTTTGATCCGTAATCCAGTTCAACGGCTACAGTTACATCAGGTTGAAGAGCACTGCTGGTTCAATCCAACGACCCCAAATCCTGTGAAGCAGTTCTTCAAGAGAAGGTAGAGGAACACACAGAGTTTTATTTGACAGCCCTTCATATTACTGCTTAAATAGCTTTGTGTTGTTTCTGATTGTTTTTCTCCATTTTAGAAAACACTAAAGAAGCGAGGAGGAGGAGGAGAGCACCATTTCCAGACATTTCACAAGACTGTTAAAGTTATTAATTACTCCCTCATGTCATTCCAAACCCCTAAGACCTCACTTTTCCTCAGTGTCAGTTCATGACGTGTGTTGATGAGAGCTCTGTCCTGCGCTGTATGTGTGTCGCACTGCTGACGTTGACCTCAGATGTGCCCACGCTTTGTTTAAATGAGAGGAAGTCGCGCAGGCCTCTGGGTTAAACACCAGCAGTGCGACACACATGCAGTTAAGGACAGAACTTCTGAAGTCATTATTTCTGTTTTATTATTTTTGTGTTTTTCTGTCTGCATAAAAGAAGTTTCGCTTCAAAATGACAGCTCTAGCTCCAAACTCCCTGACACCTTTCTTCATCTTCAGAAAACAAGTGAAACTATTTGAGATGAAATGCGAGAACTCTCTGATCCTCCGTAAACCACAAAGATGAAGAAATGTTTAAATCCCAGAAACCGTCATCAAACCATGAGAGCTCTGTCCTGCGCTGTACGTGTGTCGCACTGCTGACGTTTACCTCAGATGTGCCCACGCTTTGTTTAAATGAGAGGAAGTCGCGCAGGCCTCTGGGTTAAACCTCAGCAGTGCGACACACATCCAGTGCACTGTGCTCTTATGAACGTGTGGTTTGAGGGTCAGAGAGCTCTCAGATTTCATCTAAAGTTTTCATTTGTGTTCTCAATATGAAGTAAACATGAATTTGAACTAAGGACATGAGGTCAGTAATTAATGACAATAATGGTGATTAATGGTGCCTAGACTGCAGCTCCGCACAAGACGTTTGGCCAGAGGAGAAATGGTCGTGCCCAACTGAGCCTGGTTTCTCTCGAGGTTTTTTTTACCTTCACTTTAGTCAATTGGTGAAGTTTTGTTCCTCGCCACTGTCGCCGCTGGCTTGCTTGGTTTGGGACTTGTGGAGCTGCGCTTCGATGGATTTGCTCTTTAGTGTTTGGACTTTCGGCAGTGACAATTAAACCACACTGAACTGAACTGAACTGGACTGAACTGAACTTCAACTCTGAAAACTGGACTGACAATTTAAACATATATGAATCTGGTGTTCTGTCATAAGAGGGAGAGATTGTTAAGTGTTCAGAATATTTTGTAATGAATTGCTTGTATGTATTGTTAATAATTCAAATAAAATCATGTGAATCAAACTGAAGCTCTGATCATCATTTCTGTGAGTTTTCTAAATCAGTGGTTCACAAACTGTGGTACGTGTACGACTAGTGGTACGCGGAAGAATGAAATATGTCAAATATATGCTACACACATTTCAAAATGTATCAATAAATATGTATAATGTGCCATATATGACATATAGCCTATATTTCTGTAATCTGTAATCTGCCACATTTAACTGTGCAGAGTTGAAGCTGCTTTACTGGGCCTACTACGCTACTGTATTTCAATACTGCTCATTTTTGGTTGTACTTGGAGAGAAACTTTTTTCTGAGGTGGTACTTGATGAAAAAAGTTTGAGAACCACTGTTCTAAATGTTGAACACTAAAGATACTTTAAAGAATCCTGAAAATCTGTAACCACTGACATTCATAGTAGGAAAACAAATACAATGGAAGTCAATAGTTACAGGTTTCCAGCATTTTTCAAAATACCTTCTTTTGTGTAAAACAGAAGAAACTCATAGTAAGGGCTGAGTAAAAGATGATAAAATATTCATTATTGGGTGAAGGAATCTCTTTACTGAATCAGTAGTGCCATAAACTGTTTACTATGATTTAACACATTTATGGAGCCTGTTTAGCCAAATGGAACCACAGAGAAGGTTTTACTGTTAGACAATATGTTGTTTTATATTACAATATCATATACTGATACAACAAATATTTCCCCCCCTGGTACAGTCAAGATTGCAGACTAACTTTTGACACTAAATTGTTCAAACTTTGACAATTTCAGTTTAAAGCAGCAGTTTAGACTCGAGTAACTGGACTGTGTTTGACGGCTTTTATGTATACGGCTCCAAGAGAAGTTGCTGAATACCTAAGGTCTACTTGATGCCAAGGAGATACACTGCATAGGTCAAACATTGGGAACACAAGCAACTCTGGGTTCAGGCCTGTATTGACCTTATTCTAAAATGCGGAAGTGCACCTGTTTTCGCGATTGTCTTAGAACTTCGTTTCAGTCGCCTATGGGAGAAATGACTAGGAATAATAAACGGCAAAAAATGGTCAAACTACTTGCTCTACAAACAAATGTTTGCATGACTATACAGATCAAGTAGAATAATATAACAAGGAAATATCAGTTTGCAACATCAAACAGCGAAACAAGCAGTTTTTAATGTCTAAAAATGAATGAAGTGAATGAGACCGGAAGTCTTGTGCCTAAAAGATTCAAATGGCAGCGCCCGCTCGTCCACAGAGAATAAGGTGAATAGTCTCATAATGACCTCACTGTGGTTCCCCCCACAGTCCAAACACATGCGCTATAGGTGAATTGAGTAAACTAAATTGGCCGTAGTGTATTTGTGTGAATGCAAGAGTGTGTGGGTGTTTCCCAGTGTTGGGTTGCGGCTGGAAGGGCATCCGCTGCATCAAACATATGATGGATAAATTGGCGGTTTATTCCCCTTATTAATAAAGGGACTAAGCCAAAAAAAAATGAATAAATAAATGAATGCATGAATGAATATGCTGTTCTAAACAGAAACAAATGACAGTATTTAACAGCAAAAACTAAAAAATACAATAAAATGAGGTGTTAAAATATTATAGTAATTCATAGTAAAGGGAAATATTTAGTAATGAGCTTTATATTATATTGAATATATATTTACAACTCTTCATAATGAATTACACTACAAAATGTACAAGGATGGGCAGCTAAGATATTGTATTTGTTCGTAAGAAATAGCTAGTGTTATCTAAATTATTCTAAACAATAAATACAATAAAACAATATTAATAATAAAATGAATAAAACAATTTTAAACTAAAGTATTAATTCATTTTATTTTAAAAAATAAAAGATTGTTCATCATGTTCAAGGTGTCCTGAAATTTTTCAACATATACAATTAAGTATACTGTAAAATGTAATAACATTTTGATTGTATTTTTAAACAATACGTCCCCCACAGACACAATAAAAAGCTTCATTACATTGCAGTGTTGGGAAAGGTCACTTTTGAAAGTAATCCATTACGAGTTATTAAGTTACTCCCCAAAAAAGTAACTAGTCAACTTTACTTAGTTACTTTTTATAGTAAGTAATGTGATATGTTACATTTAAGTTAGTTTTGCGTTACTACCTGGCTGAAGCTTGATCTCTTTCAAAGTATTATTATGAAATTTTTTTTTTTGCTTTCTTCATTTAATAAAGGTGTTTTGCCATTAACGACACATTGTATAACCTACATCTTCATTTACCTTAAAAAAAAAAACACATAAAAAAAGCAATATTTTAGGATGATGTTATTTGAGAACTTCCCCTACCCCAGATCTACACATGCCGTACAGATTACTGAATGTTCAAAGCAATGTGCTTACTACTTTTGTACTATTTATAGGCAAAGTCACTATCCATTGAGATAATCCCCTTGTCCTTTTCTTTGATGCGTTCAAAATAATAAACACATTCTCTCATTGCCTGCATGATTCGTTGTGACTACTTTAATTTTAATTCAGCAATTTATTTTTTAAAAGCGAATTAATGAAACTAAAAAGTAACATTACATTTTTTAAAAAGGGTAACTCAAATATTACTATTTATTTTTAAAAAGTAATGCGTTACTTTACTCGTTACTTAGAAAAGTTTTAGAAATAAGTTACGTAACTACTTGCGCTACTTGTAATAATTTACCCCCAACACTGGTTACAGCTCTTATACATTGACGATCGGAGGGATAAACTTTTTTTAGTAATGTTAGTTTTTATAAAACATCAGTTCTGTGAATCAACTGTATGTATTTATTAAAACTGCATCCAATTTGCAACTTAATAATAAGTTTTAAGTATTTCGTGGAATATTTTGTGTATTCTGACCTACAGTATCCGATTTTCTAGTTCTAAGGTTACTTAAAGTCAAACTATGCATCTAATTTGACTTTACCTTTAGGCTGTACATAGAAAAGACAGCTATTTTACAAGTAAACAGTCTTGTGAACGGTTACGATGTCTGTCGGTGCTCTAGATCTGCCAGTTTCAGACTTATTGGTGCGATTATGCATTCACAGTGGTATGAACCGTAATAGGGGTGGTCAAATGTATATTTATATTATTAATTAGATTTTATATATGTTTTATAATAACATTCAAAATACAAAGCAGAGAAAATTATTTTACAGTATTAGAGAGCTGACCCTCCCATACATGTTGTTTTGAAGTCCTTCAGGGGGATCAAGCGTTAATTAGGGGGTCAATCCCCTCTGTAATTGACACCCTGCTTCTAATCAAAATATTGCACCTATTCTCGATTACGAAGTATTTCTCTATATGATTTAGCACCTTTCATTTTAAATCAGCAGAACAAAGAATTCAGTAGTACAAGAACTAAAAGAAAGGGCAGCACAGGGGCTCAGTGGTTACCACTGTTGCCTCACAGCAAGGAGGTCACTGGTTCGAGTCCCAGCTGGGCCAGCTGGCATTTCTGTGTGGAGTTTGCATGTTCTCTCTGTGTATGTGGGTTTCTCCCACAGTCCAAAGACGTTTGCAGTAGATAAATTGGGTAAAACAAAATTGGCTGTAGTGTATGAGTGTGTTTGTGAATGCGAGAGTGTATGGGTGTTTCCCAGTACTGGGCTGAAAGGGCATTCTGTGAGTAAAACACAAGCTGGAATAGGTTCATTCCACTGTGGTGACCTCTAATTAATCAGACACTAAGCCGAATAAAAAATGAATGAATGAAGAACCAAAGAAAAGACCAGACAGGCTGCATATTCCTCATTTATTTTTAAAATATCAACAGAAATAGAAGTGTGATATTGCTGTAAATCTGAGCAGGAGGAGCACAGAAGAAAATGAGCTTTAGTTCGATAAATGGGTTGATATTATAATCCTTTAAAGTTAAACTCTCATTCAAATAAACTTGTAAATTGCACAATAGTAGCACATGTGAATTTTTCTCGTTTTTTACATGAACAAAACAATGAAAAAAAAATGTCTTTAAATAAGAGCAAGACAAACAGCAAGTAAATGCTTAGGAGAAAAGGCATCTAAGCTTATCTGTACAGTTTACTGTAAGACATACAGATGGAAAGAGTACAACAGCTCACGGTTATGCGTTTATAAAGGTGTAGTAAATAATCCTCTAATAAAATTGAAAAGTCTAAAAGCGTGCACCTAAAAGAGCAAGGATGTTCGGGCAGCACTCGTGTCCAATCGTCACATTCGTTCGCTCAATGTACCATTATAATGACGTTTTCCTAAACTTGGACTCTTAAAGCTTCGCACTACAATCAAAGCAGAATTTCTCGTATTTTAATTTGCATACTATCTTACTTCCTCAGGCAAGTCCCACCGGATCAAAATGTCAACAAGGCAAGTAGGACGTCACTTCGAACCTTGTGTTGTGAAATCCAAGAACCTCAACGCTCGTGACACAGTTAGCAAAAAAAGCTCAAGGGGGAAATGAAAAGACTGCTTCTAACAGGAAAATGGAGCAGCGGAAAACTCGGTTTGACATCTACAGGTAAGAAAAGGCTGACAATTAAAAAGTTTGAGAAATGACACAATAGGGTTAAAAGTCACCAGGACCTGATGGATAACCTCAAAAACTGTTTTGGCCGCCTAACATTACACTAGATGCAATTTCTGGAATTCAACCGCTAAGAAAGTGAGACTATTTCATCTCAGAAGTCTTTTTTTGTTCAAGCTTTGTGTTTGGGTAGCCCAAGTAAACCATAACCTGTCCTACGACCTTCAACTTATCCATTTTGAAGACACCAAAGTAACAGAAGGGACTCGAGCTTGAGATGTAAGGTGTTAGGTTTTAGCTTTGGATAATGGATAATGGTTTTGGAGCCAAATGAATGAAAGTTCAGCTGCTTCCTGATTGGATGGGGAAGGGAAACGTGATAGGGTTATATGTGGGGGAAAGGTCAGAAGAGTTCAGGCTAGGTTGTATCATTGTCCATGAGTGAAAGCCAATCGTTTTGCCATACATTTGTTTTTTTTACTGAAATCCAAATGTCTCCTGGGAAGCGTAGACCATGTACAGAAAGCCGTCTTCGTCTCTTTCCCGTTCATAGACCTCAGAAATGGCAGTGGACACAGATACCATGCTGTGACCGTTGACCAGCAGGAAGAAAGCCTGGTTGGAGTTGAGTTGGAGGCGTCGCCTTTTGGAAAATAGACATTATTGCATTATTATTTTCCCTATAAAAAATTATTAAATAAAGAAATATAAAAAAATATTTGTTTGGTACACAAAAAAAAAAAAAAAAAATATATATATATATATATATATATATATATAAATATATATATATATATATATATATATATATATATATATATATATATATATATATATATATATATATATATATATATATAATATTAATATATATATAATAAATATAAATTCTTCAGGTTGTCCCAACACAAATCGATTAAGTAAACTTAATCATTTTTACGAATTTAAGTGGATTGATCATAAAATAATTAAGTTGTCCCTCAAAAACCCTTAAGAATTTTTTTTCAACTCATTTTAAATAAGTGATTTGAACAACCAGCAAACATTTTTTTTTCAGTGACATTACCTGATAATCTTAATAAGTTCGCTCATGTTAACGTGGTCAGGAACTAGAAACTTAGTTTTGTCAAGAATCGGCAGTTGCTTCTCTCCCTTGTATCTCTCGATGATGACCTGAAACACAAATCAATGGGTAACATTTTTAGCATATCTGAAAACAAGTATTCAGTTCAATAAGCTGGACAAAACATTGGATATAATAACCAAAAATTATGGTCATTAATTTAACATATATTAAAATTAAGGATGATCACTTATTCCTTTATTCATTCATTTTCCTTTGGCTTAGTTTCTTATTTATTAGGGGTCACCACAGCGGAATGAACTGCCAACTGTTCCAGCTTATGTTTTACGCAGCAGATGCCTTTCCAGCCACAACCCAGAAAAAAAACAAATCTAATTCCTTTACAAATTAAGCGTAATAAAATTAAATGACGCAGGGAAACAGTATTGAACACATGAAGAAAGGCAGGTGTAGAAAGGCAGTGAAAGCCCAGACAGCAGCTGAAATCTCTCATTAACTACATAACTAAACTACATCTCTCACATAACTCATCGTCATTAATTTTCTTGTCGGCTTAGTCCCTTTTTATTAGGGGTTGACACAGCGGAATGAACTTCCAACTATTCCAGCTTATGTTATGCACAGCGGATGCCTTCCAGCCACAAGCCAGTACTGGGAAACTTAATCTTTTATATATTATATAAATAAGTAGGTGTCAGTTTAAGTAAATTGTTTATTTTTTAACATAAATGTTACCCTGAAAGATGCTTTCCTTGTGTAAAATCACTTTTGTGATGCACACACTAAAATGGGACCCATATGTGTATTTGAAGTGTTCATTTTCAATGCTAGTTTTAATTGTAATGTCACTTTTCATAATTGTTTTTTTTTCACCCATCACTATCTGTCCCCATTGCATCAGTTTAAGAGGCTGTTTACACGACATTTGGTTTACTACCAAATACTAAAAATGTTATGCTTTTGCCTTTTTGTTTACAGAGGGGAAAATAAGTATTAAACGCATCACCATTTTTCTCAGAAAACATATTTCTAAAGGTGCTGTTGACTTGAAACTTTCCCTGAATGTTGGTAACAACCAAAGAAATCCATATATGTGATGAAAACATATCTAATTTGTTTACTAATTAAGTTATGTGCAAAAAAATAAAGGATGCAGGAAAAAAGTATTGAACACATGAAGAAAGGGAGGTGTAGAAAGGCTGTGAAAGCCCAGACAGCAGCTGAAATATCTCAGTAAATACATAACTAGGGCCAGACAGAATCAGCAGACATTTTTTGCTATTTCTGCACAAAATACTGTGAAAAATATTTTCTAAAACAAATTTCTCCTACGGGAGACAATAAATTTTACCTTGACCTTGAAAAATCTGCAGATTTATGCGGAACGATTTTGGGTGTATCTTAACTAAAAACATATTATGTTAAATTAAAATAATACATTTTTAACTTTCATTTAATGTTTACAATGCAAATCCAATTAGATCCACTTATTTGGTCACCAAAACAAGTATCTCATATAATATATGTACCATATTTCAACTAATAGACAGAAATTATTACTTTACAAACTGTATTGTAAGTAAATCATATGAACGCTTGATATTAATCAGTAATATAACTGAAATAATTGAAAAATGTAATATATATATATATATATATATATAATTACAGGTGAAAACCTGTGGATTTCTGCGTGCGCAAATTCCATGTGAGCCTAAACTACATCTCTCACATAACTCATTTTTCAGATTTTTTGTTTTGTTTTGTTTTATTTTTATTTTTTACCAAAATCAGATTCAATTCCATGTTAACAGCTCCTTTAGAAATATTATACCATATATAATATAATACTGCCATGTTCATGTAAACAACTGAATATTAGAGTCTTTGAAAGTGATGACATCATGCATGTCATGGTATGTATTCAGAGCCCATCGTCACTTTTTGGCTACGTAGTGGTCATGTTAAACTGTCGCCTTAATTTACAACACAAATTTTGCACAAAAACTATTCTATTCAAATGAGCTATTTTGGGCGGTGCTTCGTGTCTATTCAGCAGATGGGAAGTTGACTTGATCCTGACCAGCTTGAATAACAATCCACACTAGTAACCCTGAGGCACTATCAATAGAGGTGACACCTAGCTTTAGTACCAATGATGAGTCTTTCAGAAGCTGATGAAGGCCCTATACAGACATGCAAACGCAAACATTCATATGCTAGCTGTTTTACTAGGTCTATTAACAAGCTTCCTTTTGAGATTATCCACAAGATTAACCTATTACACCCAGAACAGGCTGTTGAGCAGTTTCAAACATTTACATCAAGGCTTTGATCTAAAAGGTCATTTGCTTTTGAGCCATCTACTTTATTTCTTCGACTCCAACATCTAAATATGTCATTTTCTTGTTCTTATGGAAACCTATTTTTGATAAAGGATGAAAAAAAAGTATTTTTAATCTGACTTCAAAGTCTACTTTACTGATTCAAATTGTGCAATTTAAAACAACAAATGCGAAACATATGTACGTCTTCATAGGCAGCGTATACAGTAAAGCTGGCCGATTAATCAAAATCGACATTTATAACCTATAATCAATATAATTTTCCAGGCCGATTATTTTCCCTAGCATGTGTTGAGTCTTGTCACCCCGCTCTGTTAAGACTGATTTATACTTCTGCGTTGAGCTCACGCGTATGGTTTGGCGCAGCCTTCACACGGTCGCATAACCACACACCTCGCAAAAAATGTAACTGCACATCGAGACAACGCATAGCGTAGGTTTTGTGATTGGTCGGTTTGATAGCAGTGATGAGAGGGGGCAGCACGGATTAATTTCAGTTGTTTAACATTGATGTACAATAAATAATCATAGACATTGTATAATGCACCCTTCATCAAAAATGTGAACATATTTATTGTACAAAACTTTAAAAAATAAAATTAAATAATCGTTCATTATTCGTAATTGAGTTAAAATGTTTAATCAATCAAGATTTTGATTTTTAGGTCAAATCGTCCAGCTACAGTTTACAGGTATTTATTTATTTATTTTTTGCTTTTTTCCCTGAGATTTTCCTCACAATTTACTTATTTTTCTCCTAATTGTGAGGAAATTCACTATTAGCTTTATACACTAAGGGCCTACTCACACTATGCCATCCGTAACGTGCCCAGGCCCGTTTCCCGGATTGTTTGAGAAGTGTGTGCGCGCATAATCGGGCTCAAGCACGGTTCACTTGGCCGGCCCTGGCCCGGTTGGAAGAGGTGTGCCTGAGCCCGGTTCACTTGGGCTTTGGCGCGGTACGCTTGTGTGTGAGTGCAAAACGCGCCAAAGCCTGAAACCGAAAGCGAGACGTGACTTTTAAGGCACTGTTTAATATGGATTTATTAATAATTCTTACTGTTCAGTGAACACAAACTGCCGTAGTTTATTAAAGACGCAAACCCCTCACTGCACGACAGCTGCCCGCCTTCAGCAGACCTCCTCATTCCTGCAGCACGAGAGCTTTATGATTGTTTATGAGCGCCAAACATGGCGGATATGTTCGGCGAAATATCTGACTTCGTGTCCCCGCATCTCTGAGGACTGTTTGGCGAAATATTTGACGGCGTATCAAACGACTGAAACGATATAACTAGAGAAATCTCAACTGTGCTGCTGAGTGAGAGAGCGCTTCTCACAGAACAGCGCAGCAGCGATGACGTAAACGTGCCGAAGCCCGTTTGTGGTGTGAGCGCAGGCCGTCAGGGAAGACGGGAGGGGGGACAAGCGTGCTTTGGCCCGGTTCGAGGCAACTGTACCTAGTGTGAGTACGGCCTAATAAACTCATAACTGTGAGATAAAATGACAATGTTTCAGAGCGATGAGTTAACAGGATTTTTCACTATTCTGAGTTTATTTCCTATTATTTTGATGCTTTCTTGAAATTTATTGTACATCTTTTAATATAAACTAGTGCTTGGCAACTAATCGAAAAGTAATCGAAATCGACATTAAGAACCTATAATCGATCAAGTTTTTCCAGGTTGATTTTTTTTCAGTTACATGTGGACGTGCATGTGGAGCCACAGGACCCCGCTCTGTTTGTTACTTTGTACTACATTGACAAGGATCGGAAGACGGCATATTTTCCATTACTATAAAATGATTAACTACATTAAAACATTTGTATTACAGAAGATGCAAGAAATGCACTGTTTAAACTATTATTTACTGGATATACAAGAGTTATTTTATTTAGAAGAGATGCTGCTTATTTTCTACTTTTAATATAAAAACATTAAAAAATAATTCATTTTTTCCCAAAAGTGCAAGTTATAAAAAAAAAAGTGCATATATATAAAAATTAGGGATTATCAGCCGATAATCACATTTAATGACTTGATCAGTACTCGCTGATGTGGCCGATCTCATGAACCGATCGCAAGTGTTTGTGTAAGTTGGAGATTAGCAAAATAATTGAATGACCTTGCATGTATTTAGGCCTTTATACATATATTTCATGTTTACTTGACAAAATCGCAAGTTCACTTATTGTAATAAACAGTGGTTTATAGGCCTATTTCATTTTAGTAAATAAGTAATGGATTTATAGGTTTACATTTTAACTTCTTATGCATCAAATATGAACGCTTCAAAAGTTTTCTTGCTTGAGACATGTTGAACTCATCATTTGCAATGTTTCCAAATTCCATTGTTAATCATTTTTCTTACGATAAAAAAAACAAACAAACTGTGTTATCTATTATTTTCTTTAAAGCTACTTCTGGGCATGACATGTTCACACCTAAATGATCATGAGATGTGTTTAAGGGATTATATGCAGCTTCCTTCATTTATTCTCTTAGGTCATACTTAGAGGGAAACGTGCTTTATGTATTATAAAACTTAAAGGATCAGAATCGGTACATCAGCCGATCACCATGACGAGGAATCGGAGCATTCCTAGTTTTAATTCCAGCTGTTCAACGTTGATGTTCAATAAATAATCATAGATTGTATAGTGCAGGGGTGTCAAACTCAATTCCCGGAGGGCCGAAGCCCTGCACAGTTTAGTTCCAACCCTGCTCCAAGACACTTACCTGTAGGTTTCAAACAAGCCTGAAGGACTCAATTAGTTTGATCAGGTGTGTTTAATTAGGGTTGGAACTAAACTGTGCAGAGCTGCGGCCCTTTTGGAACTGAGTTTGACACCTGTGGTATAGTGCGTGTTTCCTTCAATTATTTTAAAATCAAGTAACGCACCCTTCATTCAAAAGTCTCTCACTTGTAACATGTGAGCATGTTAAATGTACAAAACTTGTCAGTAAGCTATGAGGGCAATAAAATAAAATAAATAAATGAAAACATTGTTCATTCTGATCGAGTTAAAATGATCAATTAATCAAGATTTTGATTTTAGGCCAAATCGCCCAGCCTTAATATTAACTGTTCTGATTACTGTGAAAATACAGTCAGAAGTGCAAAGATTTTGGGGAAAAAAAATTCTTGCTTTTTTTTTTTTACAAGTTTACAATCTCTAACAAATCAAAATCCAACAGAAAACTGGTTAAATATCAACTTTAAAAAATAAGATAAAAAAAGTTAATAATTTATCGCTTTAAAACAACTTTTTTTTCTTTGAAAATAATACAAGACAGGAAATTTAAGGAAATGTCTTTAAAAGAAACAAAGTCAGTTGAAAATATATTTACGTGTGCCGTTTGAAACAATATGTTTAAATCAACAAAAGGGCAAAAAAAAAAAAAAAGACCCATTTAGAACAAACATGGCACTGGCAGTACTCCATTACAACAATCTATAACGACAAACACACTCCCATACTAAGCGTGGAAGCCTCTTTTTAATTGGTTATCAATTTTAATCTTCATCTCCAACTCCACAGACGGCCATTAATCTGCTTACCGGGATCTTGTTTGGATGCTGTTCCCGGATCAGCCGTACATCCTCCACCCGCTGCTCTATAGAAAGGAAGCAGGAGCGGATATTAGATACAGGCGGATCGCAATACAGGACGCATTAAACCACAGACATTTCACTGAGCTGAATATGGCTTTGGATCTCAAGTGTCGATCGATTCTCTGAAGGACTGAGTTTAATCGTGTTTAACTGGTCCACTGTAAACTTGTTAGCTCCTTCCTGTGGTTCAGTTTCAATCCTGTAAGGCTTAGCTCTAGATTAAAGGGATGGTTCACACAAAATATGAAAATTGTCATCATTTTACTTGTTCAAAACCTATTTGAGTTTCACAAAAAAGAAGATATTTTGGCACCAATTGACTTCCATAGTTATTGTTTTTATCTTCTATGGAAGTTGATGGGTTCCAGCACCCATTATTCTTCAGAATATCTTCTTTTGTGTTCAACAGAATAAAAAAATGATGTGGTCATTTTAATTTTTGGGTGAACTATCCCTTTAAGTTGTTCTTTTGGCATACAAGGCAAGGCGATGAAAAGAAATCTGTCATTCCTATTGGTGCACTGTCCCTTTAAGAAAGCACTCAGTGTTTATGCACGCTCTTTCAAGATAAATGGCTTGTGTTATTAGTTGATTACTTTGTCGTAAAAGCATCTGTTCCACTTAATGAGTTAAAAGAAATGAAAAAGAAACAAAGGACGTCCTTTGTGTACCACGCTATCTAGACTTTGAACATGAATCAGCATGACGGGACAGTATCTACAGCAACCATAAAACAATAAAATGAAAAGTACATGCTATATCACTGCCTTGATTTAAGACTAACAAGATTTTTCAAGAAGGAGTAACGAACAAGAAAAGCTAAAGAGCATGAAGTCTTGCGAGCGCTGGTTCATGAACTTGTTTGAGCACATGCTGCTCGTGTACAGCACGTGCGATTATTGAGCAACTGTGGTTGATTTTGGTGGCAGGCATCTAAACCTCTCTCATTTCCGTATAGTTTTCTATTTAGTTTCATTTCAAAGAAACAGATCCTTTTTTCTTTTCTTTAATTAATAAGGACATTCATTCTAGCTTAATGAAGCCCACTTCAGATTGATGATTCTAGGTACAAAAGCTGGTCTTTGTTTATATGAGTACATGTATTATAGTCATAACATCTTTCAGATAAAAAATACAAGTATTACAGCTTTGTTTGGTGTGCATGTTCATAAAACAAATACAATTCTGAGAAATTTTGGATGTTTGACCTTTCCATTGTAGAGTATGTTATTATTAGCATTTAAGCCTTTGTAAAACCGTGAATGTTACGTTAACTTATCGATAAATTTAGATCGTAGAAATACTTACAAATCCTGAAATGTTGTTTGAGCTAGTCTTTGACTATGTACTAGGGCTGTGTGATTTATAAAAATGGAATCGCGATTTGAAACACTGCGATTATTTAATCACAAGAGGCTGCTATATAAAAATTTGCTAACAGGAATAACAAATAACAACTGAAGTGCTCCAAAACCAATCCGCTATGCTTACGAAAATGAACATGCTAGACTTTCTATGAGGCAAAGCAGATATGGTATTGATTGTCGTGAACTATGCTATTGAATCAATGCGATTGAAACTTGTGTCATGACATCTATTTGTCTTTTACGATTCCCCACGACACCCTACGTCAAGGAAATCATGTGATCTGACTGAAACTTTATAACTAGCCAATTGAGAGAGCACACTTTCGTTCTGCCCAATCAGAATTGCGCAACTGATAATAATATCGCCAACAATAAAAAATAATAATAAAACAAACAGGAAAGCGCTGACAAGTAAGATTATGGCATCTGCTGCTTCAGAAGCATTAATTGACGAATTTATATAAAAGAAAAACAGCAATGGTAATATGGGAATATTTTGGTTTTAAAGTCACAGACGAAGAACAAAAACAGGCCACTTTTAAGAGCTGTCGCAGAATTGTTGCCACGGCTTACAGATTATTGAGCTGAAGCTTGAATAAAATAAAATCAGCTAGAGTTAAATTGTAAATCAAATCGCAATATCTGTCAAAAAAAAAGAAAGAAAAAAAAAGCAATTAAATATTTCCCAAAATCACACAGTCCTACTATGTTCAAAGCTATTTTCTACTTCTGTCCCAAAATGAGATGGAAAATAACAGAGGTGAACGTTATGAAAAAGGAAACTTCTAAACGCCTTTTTAACAGGCCTGTATTACTGTATAATGTTTAAGTTTGTTATATATTTTATATAACTTTGAATCAGAGATGTTCAAACTACTAGGAATATTCAACAATTCGATTCATTAAAACATTCTAATAGTAGAAAATAGTTTGGGCTGTTAATCATAACATTGGTTCGACAAAACAGGTTAATTACAGGCTGATAAGAGATTGTATTACAGCTTTCTACGTCTAGTTACTGAGGCCTTTGTGAAAACTTCAATGTTATCTTAACATATCGATCAAATTACAACGGAGGAATACAAACACATCCGAAAATGTTGTTTGGGTAAGTCTCCATGTAGCTAATAAGCTATTTACCATCTTAGTCCCAAAAATGAGATGGAAAATAACAGAGGTGAACGTTATGAAAAAGGAAACTGGCAAACGCCTTTTCAACAGGCCTGTTTTACTGTATAGTGTTTAAGTTTGCTATATATTTTATATAACTTTGAGTCAGACATGTTCGAACTACTAGAAATATTCAATGAATTGATTCATTAAAACATTCTAATAGTAGAAAATAGTTTGGGCTGTTAATCATAACATTGTTTCGACAAAACAGGTTAATTACAGGCTGATAGGAGATTGTGTTAGTCAATGAGGCCTTTGTAAAAACTTGAATGTTATCTTAACATTAACAAAAAACAGAGGTGAACGTTATGAAAAGGGAAACTGTTAAACGCCTTTGCAGCAGGCCTGTATTACTGTATAATGTTTAGGCTTGTTATACATTTCAGAGATGTTCAAACTACTAGAAATATTCCATAATTTGATTAATTAAAACATTCTAATAGTGGAAAATAGTTTGGGCTGTTATTCATAACATTGGTTCGACAAAATAAGTTAATTACATGCTGATAAGAGTTTGTTTAGCCACTGAGGCCTTTGTAAAAACTCAAATTTATCCTAACATATAGATCAAATTGGAACGTAGGGATACAAACAAAGCCCGAAATGTTGTCTGTGTACGTCTCTGACTATGTAGCTGATAAGCTATTTTCTACTTCAGTCCCAATATGAGATGGAAAAAACAGAGGGGAACGTTATGAAAAAGGAAACTGCTAAACGCCTGTTTAACAGGCCTAGACTGAGCGCAGTGACCACAATACCACTATAAGAAACTGAAGAAGTTTTCTTTACAGTCACCAAATAAATTATTCCCAAAACTCATTCGGCATCGTTTGTTTACTCGAGTCCTTCCAAATAACCTTAAACGACAAGTCCCATCCCCCAATCCTGCAGCGATGTGTTTTGCTAACATCTGCACATAAACAAAGACACTGCTACATAGCTTTCGGTTTGGGCACATAGAAAAAATATGCGAGATGAATTATTTATATCGTTTATGTGTCTTCAGTCTTTATGTTTTCACAGTCAGAACATTTAAATGTACATATATAAACGGCCGACACCCTTACCCCGTTTGACTGGATTGTTTCGAGAGCAGTAAACACGACCCAATTTTCTATAACGACATCAAGACGGTGTGTTTTAATAAAAGATACGCATATTAACGTACATTGATCAGAATACTTAAGCACGAGGTATAACTGTATATGTTATCACAAATATCGAGTCAATCATAAACTTGATCAGAACAATAGTCTAGACTGATATAAATGTGCCATGCTGTAACATTAATCCCTATATAAAAAATACAGTCGAAAAGTGAATCTCCGATGATTTAAACTCGGTGCACTTACCAAATGTCCTCCTTTGTTTAAATGTCTTTTCCGAAGGCATGTTTTAAATGTGATTAAACACGTTTGTTTTAGGCAGATCTGCCTAATTTCTATCGTTTTTTGTTTCTGAACAGGTTTTTAGATCTTTATGTTTTATATATAATGCGAAACCGTGTATTTCAGTTGCGCGTCGTTGCTTCGTCCTGTGAAGTCCGTCTTTACAAAACAAACTAGTCAGCTGATCTGTGACGTCACGGCGCATATGCCGTGTACATGGTGGAAAGGGGAAGAGCTTGAGGTTAGTCACCCCCTCTCTATTTTAGGCAGGTTTGAGGATAAGTTGTGTCTGTGGCAGTTGTTTTTCTGTTGTTTATGCTTATTGATAGCATTATTTTTGATTAGTGTTTTTGAGGTCGGTAAATACGGGTCGGTTACACTTTATTATTTACCTCAGTGAATTGTCCCACACTGTAAAAAAACAGAAAATGCCAAAGTCATTCAGTCCAGATACATAAGGTAAACAAAGAAATATAAAGCTATAATATTAATGTATTATAATGGGTTATAAAAACGTATAATAATAAATATGTATACATGATGTACCCCTATGTAAAAACCTTCAGATATGAACAATCTGCATCAGGTTATCTGTGGGGTCTTAAAAAGTCCTTAAACACGTCTTAAATCTCAAAAGCAAAATTTTAGGTCTAAAAAAGTCTAAAATCTATTGAAGTATTGTGTTGTCTTTTATTTTAAAATAGAATTTTTAACTATTTATGTTTTAATTACTTTCCTTAGAGTAACATCTGTGTAAAAGTTCTCCATTTATTTACTGCTGGGGATACTAACCTGACTTGTTATTATTAAATTATTATTATATTATTAAATGTATTAAATTATAATACTGTTTTTGATATGGCAACTGAAAATCTTTTCCGATTGGGATATTCGTAAAAAAAAAATCCTTAGCATTAAGCCTTGTATAAGTCTAAAATTTCCTTCATAATGGTCTTAAAAAGGACCTAAAAAGTCTTAAATTTAACCTTGAAACAGAAACAGAAACCTTGTGCATGCTGTTGGCCTTTAGAAAGAAGCATTGTTATCGAAATCTACAGTCACCAATTGATAAAGTGCTTAAAAAGAACACTTAAAAGTGTATTTCAGGTTTTTTTTCTTTTCATTGTTACTAAAAAAGCAATTGAAAAGTCAAAATCTTACGTACCAGAAAATACTTTTTTGTTTTTTCTGTTTCAAAGTTTCATGCTAATTCTTTGCATTGCATGTCATTTCTTTTTACTTAACCTTTGACATTAGCTGTTTCTGAGTAAAGTTGTTTTTATGCACCTTTTTCTTTGTGCATCATCTGTTTATAGTCATCCAAAACATCCAAAAGTATGTGGTCACATTATGTGTAGTGAATTTTGCAACAGACCTGCTATCAAAGTGATTTCAAACTGCAAAGCAATTATGATTTTGCATAGATTTAGCAATTTACACAAGCTGTGATACACATTGACGATTTCCTGAATGAGCCTTAAAATAATACTGTCGTTTTAGCAGTGCTGAGATTAACTTTCAGCTAAGGCTTTAATGCCACAGAAAAAACTGTTACCTTTTGTTGCTACTGTAAACACTTGTATAACAACAGTGCGGTAACAACATCAAACAATACAGTCTCAAAAGTCTGCTGACACCAAAAACAACTGTAACCACTGTGATGAAGACATTTGCAGGAAAAAAATACAAGTAGGTATAAACCTTCAGTTTCATTGTTCTGCGCAAGACAAAGGTAGATTTTTTATTTTTTTGTTGAATAATTGATGACTAATTGAATGATGACTGTTGAATAATTGAATAATTATTTTGTTGAACAACGATTGATAACCAACTAATCTTCTCTGACCACATTTCTAGAACTGTTCGATCTTGCTGATTCAGACTCTATAACATCAGAAAGGTCCGACCCTTCCTATCTGAACATGCAGCTCAACTCCTTATTCAAGCTCTTGTTCTCTCCAGACTGGACTATTGCAACTCTCTACTAGCCGTGCTTCCAGCTAACTCTATCAAACCTCTTCAGCTGCTTCAGAACTCTGCAGCATGAGTGGTCTTTAATGAACCTAAAAGAGCACATGTCACTCCGCTACTCATCCGTTTGCACTGGCTGCCAGTTGCTGCTCGCATCAAATTCAAAGCTCTGATGTTTGCTTAGAAATCGACTTCTGGCTTTGCTCCTTCTTATCTGCTCTCACTTCTGCAGATTTATGTACCCTCCAGAAACTTGCGTTCTGTGAATGAACGTCAACTCGTGGTTCCCAAGAAGGGAAGAAATCACTTTCCTGAACTCTCGCATTCATTCTGCCCAGTTGGTGGAATGAACTACCTAACTACATCAGAGCCACTCACTGTCTTCAAGAAACGACTAAAAACTCAACTATTTAATCTCCACTTTCCTTCCTAATCTGCAATTGCCTCTCTGGCTTCACCGCGAACTGTACTACGAAAAAGAAAAAAAAAAGAAAAAAACCAACAACAACAAAAAAAAGTTTACTAATGTTTTGCTTCTTACATTTTACATACCAAAAACTTGCATACAGCACTTATTCATTGTTGCTCTTATAGTTGTGTAAATTGCTTCCTTGTCCTCATTTGTAAATCGCATTGGATAAAAGCGTCTGCTAAATGACTAAATGTAAATCTAATTTGTTTATAAAGGCTAGATTGTTTGCATAGTTTTTTTTTGACAATTTTCATACAGACACTTATACACTTTACAGCTCCATACGATTTAAATTCTATATTTTTACTAAATAACCAAATATCAACTCAAATCAGTCTTATACAGACTTGTACTACCCAGGTAAAAAAAATATATAATTAAATGCAACTAAAATACACTTAAATACCCGCAAATACATTTTTAGTACATTGTTATTTTTTTGTGTTAAATAAAAGTTTGATGGTTTTACACTATAAATATACTAATTAAAAGTATTTTTATACTTCAGCAGGACTTTAGTACACTTGACAAAAGTATACTAAATACCAGTAATACTTAAATAATTTTTTAGTGTACTACAATAAAGTACACTACAGAAAACACATCCAAAAGAGTTTTATTAGTATGTTTTTCAAAAGTGCGCTTTAAATGCTTTAGTTGATTTGATTAGTTGATAATCCTCAGTTTAAAATAAGTTAATATAAAAAAAATCTATTAGTAATGTATTGTAGTAGAAGTACATTTTCCCAAAAGTTGTACTTAAGTACACTTAATGTGAATGCACTATTATCACTAACACTTAAATTGATTTTGAGTGTGGTAATCTTACCAAAACATTATTGTCTTGAAGGATGTGTGTGTTGTAGGTCAATGAATGATCAGGAAAGCCAAGAATGGGCATGCAGAAGGGATGATATGTTTGTGTATATCCAGTGTAGTCAATACCATGATAATCTAAGGAAACATATGTTATACATTGCATATTCTAAAATTGTTCTGGACTGTTTATCCTTCTACTTAATTATCTTTTGTCTAACCAATTACGTGAGGATGTCTAAACAATCTAATGACATAGGTTTGTTGACTCTGTTAGCATAAACATCACTGTATTCTGAATGTAAGGAAGGATTATACTTTAAATTAGTCATAAATATATTTAAATGCTTAAAAGTAGGGTTTAAGTGTATTTCTAGTTGTAACTAAATATATATATTTTTAAAAATACAGATATAGTATGTTAAAAGCACATTTTAGTTCAATTTCAGGGTGTCTCAATAGCACAGTTGAGTACACTTAGATGGTATTAAGTTTATCTTAACATATACTAAATACTATCTTTTAGTACATTAAGTACAAAATTAGTGTGCAAAAATAGAGCACTTTTACATTACTGAAAAGTGTACTAAGTATACTTAAATAAAGTGCATTTTAGTGCACTTTTTTTTACCTGGGTATAATAGTCATCATTGATCATGCCACCCCCAAAACGTTTCCTTAACACATTGAGAAAATTATTCTTTAAAATAGTTCTAAAATAGTGTATATATTTATAAAATAGTTTTATCCTGTCAAGCCGTTTACAGAAATTTAAAAGCAACATTGATATATCTTGCCTTTTCTATGAATTTCCACTGAAAGTGTAGCTCACATATTATAGGAATGTCCTTTTGTTCAATATTTTTAGATTAATGTAACTGAATTAATAAACAAATCATTGATCTCGCCATGTGATCTGTCATCATGCAGCAAACTACTAGGTGTCCGACCTGACAGCCTCCTTTTTAGCTCCGCCCCCGCCTGCACTCAGCTAATCTCACCTTATGATTTAAAATGGTTGACCTGTTCACATGTCTTGAAAATGGTCACCTGATAGGTCACATGTATCCAGTTTTGTACTAATCAGTTCGACATCCTTTTTAATTTAAAGCATTTCTTACAGATATGGTTTTAATATAGATGTAAAGCAACCCATGTGATTAAAAAGGAAGCACACACATGTAAGCTACTCAGTTGTTGGCTTGTTTGTTTGCTTCCAGCATATTCACCAGTGCTATTTGATGACTCACTGATTAGCAGAGGCCATGTATGTGAAACTGAAAACAATATTGACAGTTCAGCATTGTTAGCCGTGAGCCATGCTGTAAAAATGACTCATTAGATCTGAGAGTTAACCTCCGAGTGGACTGCTAGAGAGTAGGAACTACAGTTGAATATTAATAACAGAGCATTGCTTTAAAATAGACAGGAAAATGTGACATGCAGTTTGAGGGGAATGAAACTGACTCAACGCCATGTTTGTATTTTGTAGTCCCACTTGCCGTATGAGTCACATAATAAGAGTTATTTTTCATTCAGATGACATCAGTGCTCTAACATTATGTGTAGTTGATCAGATAATTAATCAACAGGCTATTAATAGGTAAACATATGAAAGAGTGTTTTTTCCCTTCCCTCATGCACAGATTTTCTCATTAACCTTTTGGTATCCTGGATGTGGTGCACTTGCGGTAGCTGGAACATCTGTGCTATAATTGCACATTAGCATAAGTATTTCGTTATTTATTTATTTCATTTTTTTGCAGCCTCATGAAAAACAAATCTAGTTCTTTATTCTTATACTTTCAGTTTACAAATATATAAACATTTAGAGATTATACTGCTTTTATTTTGATTCCAAAATTCAAAGTAGTGGCTATTTGGAGACATATAACATGCATAATAAGTAGACATGTGTT